CTATCTTCCATTTTTCATTATACTAATCAAAACGGAGGATTCTAGTTCATTTTGAAATTATTCATAGAAAAGAATAAATACCTTATGTCTGTAAAAAAATTTCGAGTGGAAACTAGATAACATGCTCTTATTAATTCTCACTTAGTTACATTTTTATAATTTGAACGTTTCTTCATATTTATATCAGTTTAACATTTTAAGTATCTTAATGTTTTGATCGATTTTATAACACATACACATCTATAAGAGAAAAGCGACTCACTCTCTTCCTTTACTAATCACGTGATCACCTGAACTATTTTACCCACATACTTGAAATTCGTTAAGCATGTTTCTTTTATTCTGCTGAGACCCGCTAAGGTTTTGCAGAAATCCATTCCCAAGAGGAGTTAGGGGGCGTTATAGATGAAAATTCTCGCTTTTGAACTATTAAATCTCCTAACCTGAAATTTGACAAGCATATTTCTTTTGTTGAGTCCTCTAAAAACGGGTTTTACGGAAATCCACCTTCTAGGAGGGATTAAGAGGGTGTATAAAAATCATTTTGCTTAACTGTTAGACAACAGAGATGAAATTTGGTAAGCATGTTTCTTTTTTTGTCAAATAGAGATCCGATAAGAGCGGTTTGAGGAAATTGACTCCCAAGAAAGGGTGGAGTCTGTTGGAGGCGTTAAAGATAAACATAACTCAGTATTAGAAATTTTTGTCCTACCCTTTTTAAATCAGGGGGTGAGGGACATAGGAATATTTTTCAATGCTGTCGAAAGCTTAATGCCAGGACTTAGGTATCGCAATAACTTAAAAACACTCTTTATAAATTTAAGTATCTAATACATATACATATATAAGATACTTAAATTTACCATAATAATTAACCACATTGAAATTTTTTTAATTAAATATTATTTTTAGGATTGCGGAGGATAAAGGTTTTTTTTTCGTTCTATATACTTTGCTCAAAAATAACTTTGCTTTTAGAATTTTCTAGAAAATGTAGCTTAAGTGATTTATTTAGTCGAATATGAATTCATTATGCAATGTTGTATTTTGAAATCTGTGGTTAGAAATCTAGCCATGATTTGTGAATGTTACTGCTTTATCCTTTCTGTATATTAAGTATGAATGATTTTCACTTGTTTACCTTAAACGTTATTAATATAAGTATGTATCAATCAATTAATATTGATATGAGGGAGCATCAGCAAGTAATAAATTAATTTTTCTGATAGACAATAGAAGCTTCCAACTACAAATAGCCTACACTGAGCAATAAGGATGAAAAAGTTCCAGAATTATTCATTTGTAATCATTTAGTAGTAAGAGATTACTGGAACAATATGTAAATTCCTTCCCAAGTGCTTTAACAATGAGTTTTGGAATGAAATTGTGATGTACCTCCCCTTGAGAATACATTCCTCGAAGCATCAGCGTGAGCTAGAGGTGTAGGGTTAACGAAAGAACTAGAATCAAACATTATCTTAATATGACTTTATTAAGATATTCAACTTAAACTTTTTGAACAAATAAAGGGTGTTTTTTTAGAGGTATAGAACTTTAAATTGCAATAAAATAACGATGTATTATTCGATTGACATGTTTTTTTTATTCGAAAGATAATCTTGTGGCATTACATTTTAAATATGATTTCTGGCATATGACTGCCACGGCTGGCTCGGATGTAGTCCAGTCTGGACGTCCAATTTTCGATGACTTTTTCCAACATTTGTGGCCGTATATCGGCATTAACACGGCGAATGTTGTCTTCCAAATGGCCAAGCGTTTGTGGCTTATCCGCATAGACCAATGACTTTACATAACCCCACAGAAAATAGTCTAGCGGTGTTAAATCACAAGATCTTGGAGGCCAATTCACAGGTCCAAAACGTGAAATTAGGCGGTCACCCAACGTGTCTTTCAATAAATAGATTGTGGCACGAGCTGTGTGACATGTTGCGCCGTCTTATTGGAACCACAGCTCCTGGACATCATGATTGTTCAATTCAGGAATGAAAAAGTTAGTAATCATGGTTCTATACCGATCACCATTGACTGTAACGTTGTGGCCTTCATCGTTTTTGAAGAAGGATTCCACCAGCCCATAAAGCGCACCTAACAGTCAGTTTTTCTGGATGTAACGGTGTTTCGACATACCCTTGCGGATTAGCTTCACTCCAAATGCGGCAGTTTTGTTTGCTGACGTAGCCATTCAACCAGAAGTGCGCTTCATCGCTAAACAAAATTCGCTTATGAAAATCGGGAACAACGGCCATCTCGTTTTGGGCCCATTCGACGAATCTACGCCTTGCTTGATGATCGTTTTGATGAATTGCCAAACCAAATTGAGAATAAATCACTTGACAGTTGTTAAATCGGTCGCCATCTTGGAAAGTAATGCCAACTTAAACTTCTATACCTGGAAAAAAACATTCTTTATAATATTAATAATTAATGAGAGAATCTACGATGACGCAATACGTAACACACAATATAATTCAGACCAATCTCAATAATTGAAACGCCTAATCTTCAAATGTAATAATAAGTAAACAATCCTACCTTATATTATTCTGTAATAAACTTGTCTTTATCTACAATGGTATGTAGCTTTCCGTTTAACTTCTAATCGATCACCAATATGTTTATCCACGACACGTAGAACTTAAATCTTGATCGACGAACTTTTATAATCATCAACTGCCACAACGCACGTCAATTGTCTAATATTCCTTTACATTGTCATTACATTGCCATCCCGCTTACTGTAAGATCCTATATTTATCCTATATTATTTGCATCTCTTCACTTCTCGTTTCTTAGATTTGGTTGGAAAAGAGTTGCCATTAATTCTGGCCCAAAGGACTTGTTAAAGAAAAGACGCGTAAGACGTCACAAACTATGAAAAACTAAATGTATAAAAATAATATAAAAGGAAACATTTGGAATATATACGTATGTGAGGGAAAAAATGCTCGGGAAATAAATTTTTCAAATTTATTTTAAATTAACTATTAATTAACTTTTCTGTTGCAGTAGTTTTCTAAAAACCTCACTTTTCCTACAAATGTCTTTATTATTAATTGAGATTTTTAATTAGTACATTTTTTAACCGAACGCATAATCTATATCCATAAAGGAGAAAAAAGACTCACTCACACACACTCATCACGATATCTCCGGAACTATTACACCTACAGACTTGAAACTTGATAGGCATGTTGCTTCGGTGAAGTAGAGATCCGCTAAGAAAATATTTTGCGAAAATCGACCCTCAAGTGGGTTTGCAGTGAATTAAGAGGCGTTACAGATAATTATTTCTAAACTATTAGACGTACAGCAGCGTTTCTCAAACTGGGGGGCGCGACACCCTTGGGGGGCGTGGTACCCTAACAAGGGGGCACGAGCATATCAAAAAGTCAAAAATAAAAGATTTAAAAAATTGCAAAGTTACAGAAAGGAAGCAAAACAAAATACATTCTGACATAATTAAAAAGTAAAATACACTTTTACATTGATATAATGTACTTATAAATGCAACTGTGCTTAATAATTACTAATGACTCCCATGAGCTTGTCATACACAAAATTATGCACGAAATTTAATACTTATCTTAATAATTCGTACGGTTTATAATTAAAGTCAAAATGTAACTTTAGCATGTAACTTTTAGTACGTTAATTTTGAAATCAATACATTGTTATTATATGGAGGGAGCGCAATGAAAATAATGATTGAAAATTGGGTCGCAAGTATTGAAAGTTTGAGAAGCACTGACGTACAAACTTGAAATTTGGCGAGCAGATTCTTTTTATGGAGTAGAGATCGGCTATAAAATGGGTTTTGCAAAAATCGACCCCCAAGGGGCGTTTCGGGGGATTAAGGGATGTTACCATAAATAAAGTAGAAAAGCGACTCACTCCCTCACTCACAAATCGCGTAATCATCAGACCTATTAGACTTCCAGATTTGATATTTGATAACGATGTTCCATTCATCGAGTAGAGGTCCGCTAAGGACAGGTTGCTCAAAAACCGACCCCCAAGGTTTTGGCGCGAGGGCTTCAGGGACCTTAAAGATAAATATTCTCGTTTTTGAACTATTAGACCTGTTCAGTAGTGAAGTGTCTTGGCGACGGAATGCTCCCGCTTATCTCTTTATAGATATGAAAGGAGAAAAACAGACTCTCACTCACTCATCCCGAGATCTCCATGGCTATTGGATATACAGACTTGAAATTTGACAGACATGTTTCTTTTATCGAGTAGGATCCATTAAGAATGGATTTTGCGGAGATAGACTCGCAAAGAAGATAGTGCGGGCGTTACAAACAAAAAAAAAACCTCCGTTTTTTAACCATTAGACCTCTACAGGCTTAAAACTTGACAGAAAAGTTTCTTTTGTTGAGTATAAATTGGCTAAAAGCAGGCTTTGTGGAAATCAACTCCCGAGGAGGAGTTTTGAGGAAAAAACGACAAATATATTTCCGTTTTAGAAATTCAAGTCCCGGCCTTTTAAATCAAGAGGCGAAGGCTGTAAGAATGTTTTTGAACACAATAAAAAGCTTGATGCTAGGACTTAGATACCAGTAACTTAAATGCACAATATATAGTCATACAACATCATGAAATACCAGAAGAGTGGATGGGTAACAACTAGTTGTATAACATAAGAATTTTTAACCTAAAATTATTCGTCTTTCTTATATTCAATTCCTACTATTAGTTCGTACACTCCCTATATATATATATATATATATATATATATATATATATATATATATATATATATATATATATATATCTTGTTCAAATCTTCAATCATTAATAAAATACGTTTATTCATCCACGAAAGTTCAAATACAGTTTTCAAAACTTGTAAGGGAGGACACTTGATGTTAATACAGTTTTTTCAAACATTAATTTAATAATTAAATTAAAAATGAATAAACAGTAACAAAAATAATAGTCCAACAGTATATATAGAAAGAAAACTCGCTCTTCGTGTCCCTGTAGCGTTATGGAGATCGCGTTGGACTTCTAATCCAAAGGTAGTGGGTGCGAATCCTACCTGGGATGGTCTAATTTCTGAGAATGTGATTTGTGAATGAATAAATAGTAGCAAACAAAAATAATAGTCCAACACCATATATAGAAAGAAAATTGCTTTCTATTTTGCCGCATTATTGTGTTTCTGTCAATGTTTATACATATTTATATTAATTATAATTATTTAATAAAAAATAACTAAAATAAAACTTTTCTTTGTTTGCCTAAGTAGGAATTGAGGGGGGAGAATGTTTTTTTTATATATATTACTTGTTATTTGTATTATAAATTACTTAATTTTCAATAAATTACTTATTTCTCACTAACTATATTTAAACTAAGTACACGTGACCTTCCCAGAGGATTAATCAGCTTATTGAGTAAAATATATTAAATTAATTAATATATATCTTTTTGACTTCGTCTTAATGTTTGTTTGCCTTTATAGGTTTCACTTATTTCAATAATATTAGGAAGTACTGCAGATTTTTTCTTATATTTATAACGATACCAAGAAAAAACAACTAAGGAGCACTAAGTTGTGTAGCATGAATGTAACCTTCAAGGCTACTTAAAGAATTAATCATAATAATTATTTACTTTCGATCGCACATTTTTTTAGTAACCAACGCAAACTGCATTAGATTCCCAACATAAGCTCTCATCTCTTACTTCAGTATAAAACGATATGTAGGTGAAAAGGAAATCTGAATATATTTCACCTTTATTTGCGTAAATACTGCGTGATGTCCAAACACCAAACATGGCTTCACATAAATCAACGAAAACTAATAATTAAAATTATCTGTCCCTTCAATTACTATTAATCGCTTCTATTCATTAAGTAATGTTATTTTTACCACTCTAGTTACCAATATTCCACCTCTGGGAAAATTAACATAACCACCGAGATGTCTCCGACGTCGTAAATTAGCAAGCAGTGAGTAATTTACGAAGAGACAAAAATTCTAGATGGATCGAGAAACTGCGCCTCATTGTGATTTACGTGACGGGAAAGAGGAAACAAGAACTCACATAAGTAGCGACGTGTGATTGAAATTTGCGTTTTAGTCGACGAAAAGCAAATTTGTGATCCTCTTCCTCATTATGAACTATTACTCAACGGATAACACTTTCAGGGGAGTTATCCGTCGCATAGCCTATAAGAGGACCAATCCCAGAAGCCGGCGCGTCCATCTGTAGTTAGAGAGGAGAGAAAAAAAAAGCAAACATTGTTAATTGATGTATTACTGTATGATATGTAATAAAATATTCCTACTGGAGACGAGTAGTGTTCTTTTTTTATTGATGGGATGACCTCCAACGAAAGAATGACATATTGAGAAAAGGGCTGATATTATGGTTTTAAATCACTGGAAGAAGTGATCGTGGGCTGTGTAATGGAAAAGACAAATCAGACAAGTGAGTGAGTGTGTATTAATGTGGAACTCTAAGAGGGCTGTTGGCGACGGACCACATAACTTTAAACCATGTCGAGAGACTAGGACACAACACTTAAGCTGGCACCCCTTCTCTAAATAACTACACCCCGCCAACGGGAAGACTTACAGGCACAAAACATATAACGTTAATCAGCTCCTCTACGCAGTGAGTGTTCAGTAATACAAAAACTCGAACTCGACAACGCTATCCACGACTTCGTGACTATGACTAAGGTACCTCGCCTATATGAATCAGACAAAAGGGTATTCTTTAATAAATAAAACACAAATATCAAAAGGTATAAGGATTTTCAATAAATACAAGGAATAACGTTCCTCAAGCTGGGATACGCATACTCCCAGGAACCAATGTAAGGGCATAAATAGAAACAAAATCTTTTCCCGAGGCATTTTTGTGCGTGAAATATATACAGTCGAACCTCTATATTGCGAATTTTTCTGTATAGCGAACTTTTTCCTGGAAACTTGAAGGTTTTGCGATTTTCTTCGTAAAATAACCTCTTTATAGCGAAGTGCATTTTCTATATAATGAAGTTTTTCTTTTGTGATTCAATTTTGTTCTCCCTTTTTTTTAAAAGTATTTCTGAGAATTTCAAGTTATTCCCTCTTTTAACACATTTTATGGTTGTCATAAATCTTAAACTGGCTTTATTAAATCCTAACTCGTCGAGAGCAATAGAGTTCTGGACGTTTCATCCAAGAAGTGCAACTTTTAAACCCCATTGTCCAGTTCACCAGAAAGATCTTCGATATCCCCTTTCACACTCAATGGAGTTTTCCCGTGTTCTAGTTATAAAATAATGTATGTTTAATATTACTTGTATGCTTTAAATTAGAAAATGTCCTTAATATTCATTAATTTTAATATTAATTATTTTCTTAATATTGAAAATACAGAGTATTTTCTTCGACATTTTTTTTCTTGTCTTCCTTGCTGTTTTTCATTCTATCTTTTTTAATGGGTAAGATATATAAATAAACATATATTAATTTTAAAAAATGTGTGAATAATTTCTTTTTTTAATGTTTAGTGTTTATGAATTTAAAATTTGTTTTATGTGGTTTTTAAAGTACATTCATGCTCTTAAATGCATATAAATAAACGATAAAAAACGTAAAGTTCTATCATTTTACTGGTCGTCAAAATATTTCCCAAAAATGCTTAAAAACAGGCCGTCACTTGGGTGAACCTCCTTAAAGATTCATTTACATAAAAACCTCCAAAACACGAAATGTACTATACACCATTTTTTTTTCAGAAAAAAAAGTAACTGGCATCGTAAATCATAGCACGCATCTATTGAAGAAATTAACATTAAAGTCACTCAGAAGTTAACATTTGCTCTGTTGGTACACTTCTCTATTATATTAATTTGTATTGATTGTCTTTCATTATTACGAAGAATTTCATACGTTCTGAAAATTTTGAAAAGAATAGTTCGGCAGATTTTTTTATATAAATTTTTAATGGGCTCGATTCATGATAAATTTAATCACGTATTTTCCATTGAAATCAGAGCTGACCTTAGATTCATACGTTTTCTTGTATTTGTGAAATCTAGATACAGTTTAAAATTTGATGATTGGATGATTCTTCAAAAAGATTTTCAAAATAAAAATTCTGATATTAGGCTGATTTTTTTAGACCAAGTACATTTCTTTGTTAACTAATAAGTAGTTTTAATGAGAGATTGTGTAAAAATTAAAAGTTGGCAACAACGGGAACGGAAACACGTGATTATATTTATCATGAGACTATGTATCCCATGAATTAAGCCCATTTAATTTTCGTTGAGTATATTTATAATTTCTAAACCCACTCAACTATTTGTATTTGCTAAAAACAAGTAATATAAAAAAATTTTAAGTCAATTATTACTTTGAATGGATGAATAGAAAGTATTTTATTAACGATTGAAAATTGGAATAAGATATATATATATATATAGGAGAGAGTGAACTAATAGCAGGAATTGAAAAAAAACAGCATGATTTGTCTGCATTGTTGTAACAATGCACACCTGGTTTGGTTGAAAAATAGGTTTTAGGGGCCTACTTTTGTCTTTGTTTTAACAGTTACATTGTTACAACAATAGAGACAGATCTAAGTTGGCGTCAAAAACCGATAATTAATTAAATTAAATTAAATTAATGAATTAATATTTGAAAAAACTGTATTAACATCAAGTGCCATCCACTACAAGTTTTAAAACATTTATTTGAACTTGATTGGATGAATAGAAAGTACTTTATTACCAATTGAAAATTTGAAGATAAATAGATAAATAAATATATATAGAGAGAGAGTAGACTAATATATAGTAGGGATTTGAAAAAAAGCAACAGAAATATTCACGTCTTAACTGTGATGTCGAAAAAAAATCAAATAAACTTTTGTTTAATTCTGAGCTTAAAATATTTAATTCCAAATTAATATTCTAATTTTCAAAAGCAAAATCTATTTCAGTGTGTTTTTTTATTTCAAATGTCGTACATAAGATTCATTATGACGCGTGATTACTAAAACTAATTTCGTAAAAAAAAAAAAATTAATAAAAAAACTGACGTAAATTTTTTTTTCACTTTCATTTTCTAATTCGAAAATCGTGAGGTACGTTTTAAATGTTGACAAATGCATAGACCAATGACACGCATAAGCGTGACAAAACCAACGAGTGTTGTTATCACTTTGGAAATAACTTCTACGTATCAAGGACACGTTTCTAGTGATTTACACAGGTCATCACAATGAATTGTTTGATTTTGAAAGAAAATCAGCCTAAATTTCGTTAATTTTAAAATCTAATTGCGCAGATATGTGCTTTATGATAATATTCCTCACTTGTCGATGTGAGAAATGAAAAAAATAAATGTAATGAAAGAAGAATTCAGTTTTATACACACAATTTTTATCCTTTACTTTTCTCTTAATCAAATCTAGTTACGCCACGAATGTTTTAGACAGCTATAATTTTTTTTTAATTTTGAAAAAACAACGAGATATCGTACACATTGAAATCGAGCCAAGATTTCGTTATCATTGTGTGCTCGGATTTACGATAACTAGTTACTTAAATAGAAACTTCTTTTTTTTAAAAAAAAGAAAATGATGCACTTGAAATACTATTTATTCCACCTCAGTAGATTTGCAATTCATATTTTCCCCCTCTTTTTTAACTATCCTTAAAATTCTATAAGTTTGATAGCTGTAATGCATAATAAATTTATATATATATATATATATATATATATATATATATATATATATGTGTGTGTGTGTGTGTGTGTTAAGTATTGTAGTAGCGTTGGACGGTGTTGGTTTGTTGTCATTTCTGGTTTAGTGAAAACGTCTTCAGAATTAATTTTCATCTTTTTATTTTGAAGCACATTTCGATAGCTTAAAACACAATTGCGGTATATTGAACACAGAAACTTTCGACGATCACTAAGCAAAGTAGACAACGACAAGCAGCAGCGGCATGTTGGAGGACACAACACAAAGACAAAGAGCTGCAGTTATTTACATTCTTACGTGATGAAGGCAAGCAGACAAAGAAAGCGATTACA